TAGATAGATAGATAGATAGATAGATAGATAGATAGATAGATAGATAGATAGATAGATAGATAGATCGATCTTGCTCTCCATTGGGGTTGGGAGCCACAGATGGAAATAGGAAAAAAAACAAGCCGAGATTTTTTTCTGTCTCTCCTTTCTGGGAGAGGCTCTGAGTGGCTTTGGGTGTTGCATCGGGACCGTCTTGTGTTTTGTAATCTCTCTCCTTTTTTCAACAGATTTTTTTGTTCTTTCTTTTTCTCTTGGTTGCATCTGATAGCAGAGGAAGAGGAGGAATAGGTTGTGGCAGAAAATGAATGGGGGAGGTGGGGCAGGGACATTTCAGCATGAGGCGGGGGACATTTGTTGGGGGGGCTGGAATTTATAAAGGATCAGACCCAAAGAGATGTTTTTCTACCGAGAGAATCTGGGGAAGTTAATTCAGATTTATCATATGCAAGATTTGGTCACTGAAGGAAAAACAACGAACCTTCCTGTTTTTGAATGAGGCCCTAAAGGTCATTTTGATGCTTAGTTGATGGGAAGAGAAAATGGTCTCTTTTGTTATTCTGGAATTATTTTTATGTATGGTTATCCCTCTCTCACACCTTTCTCCCTACGTTCTTCCTGTGTCTACATTCACACATGTCGAGGACACGGATTTATTTGTGACTTAGTATGTTGTGTGAACCTAACTACACCCCAAATGTTGTCAAGTGCGGTTTATGTGTTGCATGAATCCAGCTGGGTTGGGGTTGCTACGAGCAAGCTAAGGAAACCATAGTTTTTCAAGTTGTGGGAAGTCAGCCACGGGGGCCCCTGCAAAAGGTCAGTTTGGAAGTGAACCAACCTGTTTAACAATGGTGCAAAATGACATTTGTGCCATAGTAGATGCAGCCCACACCCTCAACCCCCACTGTGCAAACGTGGGCCTAGTCATGTCACTAGTCCTCAATTTAAGATCCAGAGAGGGATCCATTCATGCTTCAGTGTCATATTCTGTGCAGAAAAGAAGCAGGAGACAAGAGATATTTCTCATGATAGTCAAGAGATCTGTTGCAAGGATATCCTATACACCCCAAAGAAAAATATTCTTAAAACAAAGATATACAGTTCCCAGGTGAGGCCCGGCAAGACTTTTACTAAGTCAGACCTTAGTCTAAGTCTTGATGACATGACCGGCAGTTCCCCTCCAGAGCTTCAGGCAGGAGTAACACAGGGATGGTACACTTTGGTTTGCATTCATAAACTCCCAACTGTACTCTCTACCCTACTCCACCTCCTGGAGAACAGGTCACAGGGTTGCAAACCTACTGACGCCCACTAGGTGGCGCAACACATTAGCGGTTTCTAAATCGCTTGGTCGCCATCTAGTGGTCCCCTGCAGTACTGCAATGTAGCCCTAAGCTTAGATGGACCACAGTTCTGCTTCTGTAGAAGTTGCTCGCAAGGATATGATCAGGAGCAATTTCAAAGAACGTCTTCAACATTTCCACTTTGCCATTATGGCCAACGGTCTTTGATTGTCTTCCTTCTCCTCCCTGGCTTCCCCAGCAGATTCCCCATGAAGGGCGAAACTCCCGTCAACAGCACAATGAGCATAGGACAAGCTCGCAAAATGGTGGAGCAGCTGAAGATTGAGGCCAGCATGTGCAGAATAAAGGTGAGGAAAGGGAGGTGGGGAAGGGGGAAGGTTAGGGAGAAACGAGAGAGCTGGGCCACCAAATCCTATGGATGCTTTTCGGTGCAGAAGAACTGGGCCTCTGCTCCTATGATAGCTTGCAACCTGGTTGGCCTATCGGGCCAAGCGATGAGCGGTTTCTTCAGGTTTGAGGAGAAGCGGGACAACCACCTTTCGTGGATGGTTTAACTGGGCTGGACCGTGATCCTTGTGGTCCCTTCACAACTCAACGACTCAAGGGCTCTAGATGGGCCTAGGCTACCGGGTGAAGCCAGCTAGGGCAGAAGGCCACCTCCCCAGTCTGCAGAACAATCATTCCCAACCTCTTTAGGAAACGCGGCCATTGGCAAAAAATGGTGGGAGTCGTAGCTGAAATTGGAAAGACCACAAGCTAGGCATGGCTGGCTGAATACAATCCAAGTTACAGGTTGTCAGCTTGAAAGGCCTTCATGGGTTAGACCTGGGTATCTATGAATTGCCTTCATCTTGCGGTTGACCAGAAAGAGTGGGATTTCTCCAAGACCCTTCCCTTAAGGAACATCTTGAGGGATCCCTGGGGATGAGTCTTCACAGGTATGGAACACCATTTCATGGGGCTCCCACCTCTTGGTTTTGCAACGCTGCTGAAAATTGGTTATTGGATGTGTGATGGAGACCTTCCTGTTACAGGTTTGAAGGCAGGAGGGCCCGATCCTCAGGGCACCCTTGTTTCGTCTTGCTATCATTTTTATGACAATTTTGTTGTAATTTTCACATCCTTAGGTTAGGCCCTTACAGCCTTGTTTGGATTAAAATAGCACTTCATTATAATAAGCACATAAATAAACGTAGCGCATTAGGTGAAAACAACTGAATCGACTCGATAAACCATGGTTACACAACTCCTGGTTTGGAGGGATGTGAGAATCTAGTCTGAGTGTGTTCGCGCAACACACTAAGCCATAAAACTAAAGTGACAAACAGTTGTGTCAACAGAACACGCCTAGCCAATGTATGGCTTAAAGGATGGTTTGGTTCTCACCAGCCTTAACATTCATTGGTTTATTTAGCTTAGTTTTAACCACTATTGTTTATAAACCATGATTATGGTGCAGCACCTTGCCCAAACACGGGTATTCTGGTTTAGTAAGGAATGAGGATTTTAATTCTTATCAACTATGCCTTCCTTTTACAGCCAATGTTTGAACAGCAGGTGAACCTCTTACAGTCCTTGGTGCAATTTCAGGCTTTTAACAGCCTGATTTCAAAAAGCCCTCCGTTTGGGGGCTCCAGAGATCACGTTAACTCCAAATGAAATGAAAACAGGCACATTTTGGCCAGACGAAGGCTGCTAAAACTCCCACCTAAATACCCTAGACCGGTGTTTCTCTGGCTGGGGAATTCTGGGAATTGAAGCCCACACCTCTCAAAAGTTGATGAGGGTGAGAAATAGTGCCCTAGACAAATGGTGGTGGCTCCAAACCTGGGCTGCAGTACTCCAGGTAGCCACTAGGGGGCAGCAAGTACAGTTGCTAGTTTTTCTCTCAGGGCTGCCCCCTGGTGCCTATCTAGAGTACTGCAGCCCAGATCTTCTAGCCCTCAATCTTCTCGATGCCATCTCTCCTTTGCCGTGCCCGGGACGATAATTGGTAACTTACTGGGAGATGCGGCAAGCCATGATTTCCTTTTTTTTCCCTCCCCTCCTTAGGTGTCCAAAGCGGCAGCCGACCTGATGACCTACTGCGATGCCCACGCCTGTGAGGATCCCCTCATTAGCCCCGTGCCAACCTCGGAAAACCCCTTCCGAGAAAAAAAGTTCTTCTGTGCCCTGCTTTGAACTATTTTTGCTCCCTCCCCTGATGCCGGGTCCTGCCTCCTTCCTTTCCCCCCATCCCCAGATACTCATCAGTCAGTGCGGAGTCCGGTGGCTCTATCATTGGGGGCAGAGAAGGGGGGGCTCCACGGCAGATCGGTTTTCTCCTGCAGAGCCCCCCCCTCGACTCCATTTTCCCAGGCTCCCAAAATCAGGATGAGCAGCAGAACCTCTTTTAACGGCTCTAATTCAACAGCCCCACTTCCCCCTTGAAGGAGGGGAGCTGCTGTTTGCTCTGAGGGGGTGGGGGAAAAAATCAGGGTACCGGAGTACCCCCCAATTAGAGCAAAAGGAGATCAGGCATTATCTGTAAGCCCTTGGATCCAACCTAGGGGGTTTCGTTCCAGTATTAACGTCCAGCCTCCCCACCACCTTCACCTTGGCTAAAGTTTAGCTCCGAATCAAGGTGTTGAACCGGGTCCTCTCCTCTCTCCCCCCTGCCCCAAATTCTCCCCATGGAAGGGCACCAGCTTTCCACGACAGGCCCAGATGGTTCTTCTCACAACTCTCCACCCATTCTGTACACCAGAGAGCACAGAAAGTTAATAAAATTTACTGGAGTCAGTGTAACCGATTAGTGGTTGAGCTAGACCACTTGGGGACGGGGTGGGAAGGTATTAAGGGTTTACTCCAAAGGATCTCCAACCCAGAGTTTTCCAGGATAGGAGATACACAACCTTCAAGATGTTCTGAATTGCAATGCACTCTTTGTGATCAATAAAAATGAGGGGGTGGAAGCGTTCCCGTCCCCCAAGATTCTCCCTCTTGGGGAGAATGAGCTGGCGCTGAGCCATAATGTGAACCCAGTCTGGGTTTCCTTTATGGATCCGTTGGTGTGCAAATCAAAACAAGTGGGGTTTGTTCAAGCAATGGTAGCTTAGGAAAAAGGTCTGAGGCCAAAGCAAAGGAACCAGAAATGAAAAGGTGCCACTTGGGATTTGAAGGAAAACAACATCCAGGTGAAAATCTCTGGTTTGGGCCACCAGCTGACACGGGGGGCAGGGGGAGATGGTCACAGGCCTGGTTTGAGGGCAGTGTTTTTCAACCTTGGCGCCTTGAAGACCTGTGGACTTCAACTCCCAGAACTCAAGCGGGGGGGGAAATTGGGGGGGCTGAATTCCACACGTCTTCAAGTGG